AAATAATTAAAATTGCTAAAACGAGATTTACTAAGAAATATTGTCATTACTATAGGCTATAGAATAAAAAACAATTTCATCTAAAAACTTGACGATAAAACTTAGTTAGTAGCTATGTTGCTATTAAAATCCGAAAAATATATTATCAAAATATCGTTGTAGGTAATATAATTTAAAACAGATTATAAAAGGCTCAGATCTAAAAATTTCTAAGCTTATTTTTAATTTTTTTATACTATAGATTTAATTATTGATATCCTGCATGCAGACTGTGATTCGACTTTAATAATAACAATTTATTTCATTTAAAAAAAAAGTAGTTCTTAACTAAAAAATTCTAGATCAACAAAATTTACAAATTAGTTATTTAATAGTAATCAAAATAAAACATTTTGATTTTTAATAAAAAATTCGTCATGTATGTTATATGTAATATTTTATGTATATTTAGATTTAGATGTATCACAAATTAAAAGTTATATCTGCAGTATTATTTTCTTTATTTTTAAATGCTTCTATTGAATATGAAGTTAGTATATAGACTTAATTTTAATTAATCAATCAATTATTATTTTAATGTTTCATGACTCGTGGTTTTTTATTAATAGTCTAAATTTTTAAAAATATTATGAGTATTTTTTAATTATATTTTCGATAAAAAAAAGATACCATAAATTATTAATTTACAATGTAGGTACCAATCTTTCACTCTTTCAGTATATAATGAACACTGCTTATAACACTAATTTTGAGACCAGCATATAATAAGTCTTATAACTAAATGGATTTTATATACAAAGTGGAGAAGAACAAAATTTTTTAACAATTATTAATTTATTGCATTTTGCATTTACTACATATTACTAAATAAATATAATAATATATACAATATACATATTACTAAACTTTTAATATTATTTTAACGTATTATAAATAAAATAAAATAATATGTAGTTAACGAAATTTAATACAATTTTAATTTGATATTTTTTTTAATTTATAATTTAATTAATAATCATTATAATATAATTTAATGAAAGGAACATTTTTTTTATTGTTATTATAATTACCATGAATATAAAGAAAGAAGAAACATATTTTATTTTTTTCATGTTAGTCAAGAGTTGTAAAAAAAAAAAGGTCAAAGTCGGAGCAACTTGCTGAATTTTCAGGTTATTTTTATATTGCAAATAAATAACAATCAATTAAATGTCTCGTCATTTTTCAAATTTTTAACTTTTTTTCAGTAAAATATATAATTACCATAAATTAATTTATAAACTCAATAGCTTAACATATTTTGTCATCTAAAAATATTAAATTAGCTAAGTTTAAAAAGTACCTAATTATATTTGGTTAAGAAAACGTTTTGCATCAACTCAACCCATTTTTTAATTTTTAGTTACGCCAAATTATATTCAAATATATTATTAGTTTATATTTATTGATTTGTATTGAATTATGTTCTAATATTCCAAAAATGGAGTTACTGAACATTTTGGACATTTCTTATATAATTTTTAAAAACAAATTTATTTCTAAATTTTAACCAAAAAAGTTTATTTTCTATCATTTTTTTTTTTTTTTTTGTTTATACGAAATTTGAGTCCTATAAACGAAATGGTGAGTCTTATAACCGAATTTTTCATAATATATTTGGGTACGTTTGGACCATTACATACGATTTTAAGTTTATCAAGTGACTGAACCTTATATCCGTGAGTCTTAAAAGCGGCTTCCACTGTATTATATTAATAATATGATATTCGATATATTAGGTATATACAATATATTATACCTAGAATAGAAGATTCAATAGAATTCCATAAAATAGATACCACAATAGAATTAATAGAATATTGTGTCTCAAATGATCAACGTATAAATAAAATTGATAAAATTGCTTCAATAATTTAAGAGGTACATTTAACTTTTGACGACGTAGATTTTTTCCAAGTATATTGCTATAATGTACTTGAAATTGAATATTTCATATTATTGAATATTCAATACGGTTAACTTTTATGTGTAGCATTCATCAATAAAAATATTATTATATTATAATACTCAAAATATAGATTCATGGTAGGTATACTGGTTCCAACAATCATAATATTAATATAATTATTAATTACTAAACAAAACTCTATAGAAATTCAATATTTAAGTACAACATGTGATTGGGAATTACACACTCTTTTTCACAGTCATTGATCTTCATATTAATAATATCAAACATAAAATAGAACCTAGAACCATACATTTGTCAACATATTTTGTAAAAATCTGAATCATATAATACCTACATGTATTTTTTACATAAATACAGTTGGTGTATCTGTTGGGGGAGAAGGCATTTTCAAAACACAAAATACTCCTGTGACTATGACACTGCATTTATATTAGTGCCTTAGTTAACTCTCCAGTACTAATAGCTAATGACATTTGATATTAACATGTGCTCTTGGCTCTTTTCTAAAAATAATAAAATGTAATTTATAAATTATTCTAAATATTAAAAAACAATATACCACAAAAAGAGGGGGGGAAATTCCTATTTTTCCCTGATAATTATCACAAAAATCACATTGCTTTTCTGTACTAGACTTGAAACAAAAAAAAAACATTTTGTCTTATTTAAGAATTAGATAGATTCTTTTACGGATATAACCAATAAAATAATTGTTAAAAAAAAAAGTAAAAATAAAACGAGAAATTTATTTTAATATTCTACATTTTTGTAGTGATTTATATGAAGTATAAGATATCAATAAATTAACTCACAACTTATTATGTAAAAAAAAAATATCCAATTTTATTGTACACTTCATAATTTATACAGTTACATAAAATCTTAAAAAAAAAGAGAGATAAATGAAGAATGCAAAATATCATTAGTGGTTGCACACCAAAGTTATAAATATATCTATTACATATTTGAAATATTTTGTCATGTTCTGATTTTAAAGTGATAATTGCTATAGTAAATTTGTTACACAGATTATTGTTAAACGATTGATGATCATAAGGATAAGTTAATAACTATTTATACTAAATATTACGCCAGTAAATTAATTTTTACACGATAAAATGTAAAAATTATATAAAAGTTAGATTAGGTTGTTTACTTAACTTATCATAGAATAATATACATAAATGTATATAAAGATAAAAAATAATATCATCTTACAAAATACCAATTAGATATGTCTCCGATTTTAATGAAAATAAATATAGAATACATTATAATATAAATATCAAATAAAATAGTTAAATTCCTTGAGTGAATAACTTGAATTCTTTGACCTACTTTTTAATCAAATTAATTTTAAAAATAACATTATTTTTTTATTTTATATTGTATCACAAGTTTATTAAATAAAAACATTTTATTGAGTAAAAATCAAGTATATTTAAAAAACTGTTTGATAAGGATATCATAAAAATATAGTAAAAAATGTATTTATGTACACTAAAATTTAAATAAATTATTTGTTTTATAATAATTTCAATATTAATAAGTCAACTTTTAATAATAATTATATGCTACCTGTGAGATTTCTTTTATATTTTTTTAAAAAACACAAAAATCAAACATATTTTTTTATAGAATACGAAATGCAACCATTAATAAAAACCAAACCAACTTTAATAAAGCTGATTATTACATTTCACCATCATTAAAATTTTAATATCCAAAAAGTATAAAATAATATCATTCTAATTAAGTAAATTTGATAGTAATAATTTATCATGTATAATATATATATATTTATTTACTATATTAATAAATTATGCTTCAAAATGTTTCAGCGAATCGTTGATAAAAATTAAAACCTCTAACAAAAATGATTTAATATTGTAAGATTAATGATAACAAGTAGGTACCTTAAAACAAGTCATTTTTGTAACCGGATACTTTATTTAATAACTAATTACTTAGCATGTATCAATAAAAAAATAACTATCACCACATAGTAATTTCTTAGTGGTTAAAGTAGGCACACTATATCAGGAGCGTCATTTGGGGAAGGATCAGGGTGTGCGGTTGCACTCTTTACTTTTAAAATAGTACTAATTGGCCTTCGCCCTGTTGAGATAATGTTCAAAATTAAATCTTCTTAAATTGTATTTTAATGTTTATAATGACATTAATCAATATTGTTATACAGTCAATTATTATAATTGTTAATTATTTATTATATTTTAGTTTTTAAATTGATTTTTACTATTTATATAGATGCAATGATTCGATCCATGCGGTGTATTAAAATAATTGAAAGCAGAATAATATTTTTATTTGACCTGATAAAATTTAAAAATGACCTGCTTGAAACCTCGTACACCAAAAAAAAAAAAATCTGAAATGACGCCCTTGCACTATATTAGTATTTTGTTTACTTATTACTAACTGTACTAGTACATTATCATAAAAACACCTACTAAATATAATATTATAGTAATTTAATTTTCTATTGCAGACGTGTTTTCAACAATTTCGATAGAACTTAAAATAACATACCATCGCTGTAGCCGTGACTGACTCTTGAGGCTATTATGCGATGTACCTATACAGATTACACATTTACAGATAGGTACGAGACATAAATATTATTTTAAAACATAGTAGGTACATATGAAGAAAATCATATTGTATGAAAACGATAATAGTGTCACATTGGGATTTGATATGACGTGTGTATTACTAATATAAACTTCAGAAAATATTGCGTGGGACTCGTAGATTGAGGTATTATGTTATCCCGGTAGAACAAAATATAATATTATGAGAGTACGGTTGGCTAATTCTGTACACGATGGTGAGTAATTGTCTCGAAAACCCAGGGAAGCGTCAAGGCTCCCATGCTGTACAGTCTACACTGCATATAACCTATCCAACTAATATTCGGATTGTGGAAGGGAGATTTATAAAGTTTAATATAATGCACGTATATACAATAGTGTGATATTTACGTAAAACATAAATCGCGGCTCGTCGTTAAATTCAATTATTTCGAATCAGCAAGCTGTTGGTGCGATTTATACAGTTTTCTTCATAATATTTACGATAAGAACTTTATTTTAATAATCTTGTTCTATACTTTACTAGTAGCTCTGTGATAGTTCAGAGTAGAACAAGTGATCAACGTAGTTAATAATGAAAAATATTATAAATATACCTAACACCATGTTTATTTCTTTACTTATATTCGTGTCATTGACGGATGTTTTCGGTTATTATTTAGCTGATTTGACCATATCAAACCCGCTCGAACAACCAGAATATATTTACAAAAAGTGTTTGTCGATGAACAAAGTTGTCTACGAAGATCGTTGTTGGGACTTGTTGACTAAAGGACCGTGCGATGAGGGTTAGTGACAAAACACGTTTTTTTTCTCTTTATAACACGCTTAACTATACTTGTTTCTTAAATTTATAATAAATAATACTAATTAAAAAAAGTATAAAATAAAAAAATTGGTTACCTTAATAAAAAAATTAAACGAGTTACAATATGGAGTAACATGTAGATAATATATTTCCGTAAATTTTTTTCATATGTTATTTAAATTTTAAAAAATAAACAATAGATATTATTTGATGAAATTTCTATATGAAAAATAACATAAAATAACTAACATTTTTAATTTGTTTAAAAAATCTTGAAAATTTTCAATTAAAAAAATATATATTTTGTTTAAATAAAAAAATATATGTATTTACTATAAAAATAAGATCGATTAATACCATTAGTTATTTACCTTCTTCTTATCACTTCCTATCAAAATATTGACACATTGTAAACAAATTAGTATTTACTTTATTTAATCATACTAAGATTAAAAATAATATAAACAACATAGATATATTAATGATAATAATATATAGTCTATAAAATTGTATTAGTTATAACATTGATTCTATAATCAATGGTTATAACTTAAATATAATACATGGCTATTACAATTAAATTATTTATTAGTTGATACTAAAAAATAGGTATGATAAGAATACACAATATTTAATATTTATATTTTAACTTATTAATACCTATATACTGCATAATTATTTAATTTATACAATATTATTTTATAATGCATAAAATAAACAAATAAATTGTACGAAAAATTTTATTAGAATAATTTGTTTGTTTTTAAAATTGATAACTAATTAACAAAAATATTCACCACTGAAATTTGACTTGTTATAAACACAGTCTTTAGCTAAAATCTAACCTATTTAACGTATTAAAATTTATAGTTAAATGAATTAATTAATTTCTATTTGATATAGTTGTGACTTGTGATTAATTTAAATTTACCCACGTAAAATACATAGATTATGTTTTGTGAAAAAGATAAGCACATGATTTAACAATTATGCAATTAAAATAGCTGAGACCTTGAATATTTCCTGAGTTCCAGACAATTAAAACACTTAAAAACATAAGAATATGGAACCTAAAAATATAAATCTTAGATAATTGTTATTACCACAGCCATTAAAATAGTTTAAAAACGTTAAATTAAATGTGTAAAATATTTAATAATTATTTCCTAAAACTAAATAAAATATATTTATCATCTATTAAAATGTTAAATTGCATTAAATTAAATTTTATAAGTAGGTACATAATACATTAATACACAGTCATGATACATTTTACTAAGAACAATAAGAATAAATTAAATAATTATACTACCTACATACGTATTTATTAAATTTAGATAATAAATTTTATTATTTTAGTCATTTTAATAATAAACATACAAAGTTTGATAATATAAATTGAAAATTCGTTAGAAATGATTCATTAAACTATTTAAAATAAATTTTGTATTTATCTTAAAATGATAAAATTTATCTTAACATTTAAAGTTATAATTATCTGTCCAGAATAATGTATTGTGATACAAAGTCTAAAAACAACTAGTGTACATACTTAATCATTACTCATTATACGAAAATTACATAACTACTGTAATATTAAAGGTAATCCATGTACATTAACCATTCAATTTACAGTACAGTAAAAACTTTAAAATTGCACGTGCATGCCCGTAACTGTAAATGCGTATTCGTCGTAATCCTAATTTTAACATAGTTCAAGGATATTGTTTTTGCCGATACAAAACTATAAAGTATAAAGCGAATTCCATGTAACGTAAGGATACGTGAAAATAAATAATCAAGAACTTAAGAGCTTACGCATCAATAAGTAATTTATAATTGTACCTTGGTTCTTGAACAATTTCCGCCAATAAATAATTAGGTATACAATATTATACTACCTACTACAAGAGAATCCAAAGAGAATGCGCCTATTATTTACTCTTATTTTTTAATTCTAATTTATAACTCATGTTATTAAAACTACCGGATAATTAATTATGTAAGCCGCGGTTTGTAGTGTATAGTCAGAAAATATTAAATAACATTACGTTTTTGTTGTTTTTAATTCAACAAAATACAATGTTCACTTTTTAAAAAATATGATCAAATGGTTGATAGGTAATTAAATTCAATAAATGTATAAAGTTTTAATATTTTGAACATACTCAAACTCCCAAGTCTATTTAATATACCTGTGTATACTTAAAGGGTGACAGAACTGTAATTTATGAACATACGTACTTGTATCAAATTCTTGTATTGTTATAAATCATATTAATTAAAGCTTTGCGAAATAAAACTTTTAAACGCTATTAAATATGCTTAAATATTAAAATCTACAAGGATTTAATATCGATCAAATCAATTTTTTATAATTATTTAAATTGTAAAACTATTATTTTTAAGAACCATGTTTAAAAATTGTACAAAATAACTGTTATTACTATTATACTATTATTCATTTTATTATTTATGCGTAGATATTTATGTTGAATAATAAAAAAATATTTCAAATTTCTTCTTGAAGAATGTTATTTACGAAAAATAAAACTCGTTATTTTATGGTTATTACAAAGTAAGTTAACTTTATTACAACGATATTTTTTAGCTAAAATATTTTGATTGTTTTAAAATTTAAATTTAATACTTAATAAATAATAATAACTTGAAGTTTAGAAATTGTTTTTATTTAATTATTCTCATAAAGTTATTTTTATTCTAAGAAGTGTTCTTTTTTATTTAAAATTATATTTGAAGTATTTATAATTAAATAACTCAGTGCGTTTCAATAGATCTAAATAATACACACACATTTCAAAAACAAATTTTTTTCTTGGTATCTTAAAAAACATTAAAGTATTTATTTTTAATTGTTCTACCTAGTCATAAATTATATATAATAAAGATACAGTTAAATCTTTATCAAATATTTGTTTGATTTGTTTACACATTTATATCTTTAATACATGTAGATGAAATATTAATAAACGTTTGTTATATATTATGTCAATATGATTATAAAATGTAGATCAAAGAAACGATACTTTTGTATGTTATATTTTTTACATGAACTATTTTGTTTAATCGCTATACACTCGTTAACCCAAAACTTTATTTATATTATTATTTTATTATCTTTCATAACTGTATGATTTAAGATTACTTACTATAATTTAATCTTAGAACCACAGTTTAATTTAAACTATGTTCGACGATTATTATCTAATATACATTTCTAATTAACCATAGATTCACATTGAGTAAAACTATACATCGCACTGAATAAAAATAATTAAATAATATTATGACTTTAATTAAATACACGCAATATAAATTGTAATAAAGGCACAGTATAAATTAAAAATCTGTTCGAAGCATAACCATTTTTAACTAAAGTTATATCAATATAGATTCTTTAAGAGTCAAAGGGTGTTTATATAGCTAATATTTTAACTTTGTGCTTCTATTTGATAGCCCATGCATGAATTTGATAATGGCTCGTGATAATCAAAAATCTTATTATTTATTTAAATGGTTGACATTGATTATGTAGTATATTACTATAATAATAAATAGAAATGTGATTTTGAACAATTTAAACAAACTTAAAAAAAAAAAAAAATGGTTGAAAAAACCAAATAATTATAAATACAATTACTAGGATTACTTTTATGATTTGCTCTCATAATCCTAAACATATTTTGATGTGAACAAATTAAAACAAATACCAATAATAATTGGTTTTATTTTTTTTTTTTTTTATTTACATAAAGGCTTCAATAACAATGATTATTAGCCTATGATTACAAAATGTTGTAGTTTTACAATATAAAAGGAAACATTATTTAATTATTTTAGGCGAAAAATGTATAGAAGGAAAAATTAAAAAATTAAAATATATAATATTTACAGTTTTTTATCTAAATCTATTTTTTTGAAAAATTTAAAAATATTGCCGGAGTTTTGCTGACTGAGGGCTTCTTCAAGTGATCTTGGATTATTATAATTGGTTTTATAATAACTTTTAAGAATTCTTTAAGCCAATTAAACCAATAGGTAAGTAAGTTAGATTTGTTAGTCATTTTTGTTTACATCAAAATGTCCAAAATTTCAAAAGTGGAAATCATTAAACTAATCATTGTGATTTATATTATACCTTATACGCGGATATTTTAACTAAAGTAAAACAGAAAACAATTGAAAAATCAATTAATTTTAAGCCGAACAAAGTCAAGTAATATTGCTTGTTATTATAAACTATTTAATATTTAGGTTAGGTAAGTAATTTTTATTGAATTCCGAAAGATTAAAATAATAAATAAATGAGGCCCACGTCAAAAAATTACCCAACCTAACCATTTGCCTACCCGTTGATCTATAGGTATAATTCAGCCACCGTAATTGCAGAAGAGTGATTTTTAGCAAAATTTGTTAAACCGATTTACTTTTAAAAATTATTAACAAATAACACAATATATATTATTATCAAATTTTAATAACACTATATCGATATATTATTCATAATGCGTTATTATAAAATAGTGTATGTATAGGACAGTGGTTGGTATTGGACAAAGTGTCAGACGAAATGCAATTGCAGGAGCCGCGTCCGTTGAGGGCCAAATGCAAGAAACGTCGGTGCAGTGAATCAGACGTGTACTGGCCACGTGACGGATTTTGCCACAACAAACAAATGGCTCATCGTGATCGGCTGTGCGCCAGCGCTAACACCGTGTTGACTATCGACGAGTACGGCAACGGGTTTTGCAAATGTCGCGATGGTGACAAAGTCCCTTACGTACGCGTCTTCAGTTCCACCAATGATGACTACGACTCGCAGCCGTGCTATCCAGTGTACTCAAAGGGTCCGTGTCCCAGAAATCATGTGCTAACGCCCTATGGAGCTAGGCAAGTACAATGACTATTAAAATACGTACAGTATAAGTATTAACGGTCAATTTGAGTCTTTTATTTTATTTCCTGCTCTCAGGTATACCTACCTACTAGATTGTCTGACTTTGAAAAGTAATATATTATCAGGGATGATAAACAGTGATAAAAAAAAAAATGAATATTTTTAGAAATTATCTGTAGTTAAAAATTTGAACGAACGAGTTTTAAAATTTATATTTCTTACTATAAAAAGACTAATTTCTATATTAAATTATTATTTTCGCAAACTAATTTTTAACAAACTAAATTAAAAATCTGGAAACTTTAAAAAACCAACATACACTCTAATTTAATTAATTTTAATATTTAAGCAATTTAATTTTAACTAAAAACTATTGTCGAAAAAATGACTAACTTTCCCAGCTTTGATATTAATATAAATAATAAGTGGTATAATATGTACTTTTAGTTGAGCAAATATAAGCAATCCAATTGTATAAAAAAATATTATTTTACATTAGCCAAACTCAATAAATCTCAACAAAAAAAATTCTTATTTCGAGATCAGCTGTATAAATAATAATTTTACTCGAATAAATAATATCTTGTTATTAATGTTATTATACGTATATGAAATCGTTTGCAAGAATTATTTGTATAATTTGCACATTTTATGAGTAATTAACTATTGTTATAAATGCCATATTAAGGAGTTAAAACTTTAAAAAAGTGAAGTTTGATATCTAAAACATAATTAAGTTAATAGGTCAGATCAAATCAATCAAGTCTTAACAGTAACCAAACATTTGCTGAGCTAAATTAACTTCATCGGTTATAAATAAAAAATATTAACGTGGATAAGTGTTAATTTTGGCTAAATCAATAGAACTTATAATATATTATTATAATTGATCTATAGTACCTATACAGTATACATAGTATATTCGCATGGTGAATGTCCTCAAATTGATTGGTACAACAATGTGTTAGATTAATGACCTTTGGGAAATACACAAACGATACACTCCTAAGCTTAATTTGTCTTATATGTATATTATAAATTATAATACTATACCGTGTAACATAATGCCATAATATATATTAATACTCTGCCTTCTTTAAATCCAACACATGATTTATAAAATATATAAACCATTTATTTCAAAAACAATTATTATATACGCTTGGTTTATTATATTCCAATTTTAACTACCTACATGTCTATATGCAAATTGTTTTACCATAAACTGTACTATTATTTCCGAAGTGAAGAAAATACACATTTCATATAACCATCGAGCTAAATTTTTAATTAATTTTAAAATATAACTACATGTCTACATATTTGTTGGTATTAATTTTCAACACTTTTATACGCTAATACACTTTAATTTCTTGTTGAATATTTTCTGTACATTTATCAATACGCTCTTAAAATATTTGTGTTTCAAACATCAGTCATGGTAAACTCCGCGAATATGTTCGTAATGTCGCCTACTTTGTAACGTACCTACATGATAATATTGTACAAAACGTACACTATTAAAAAATAAATCGATACTTGATAGCTATACTAATAGTCGAATTTATACATACGAATAATTATTAATATATATATATATATCCAGAGTTAGTATTTATTGTAGCTAAAAATATTTTTATTGTTATTTTGAAGGAACCGGTTATCAAAAAAATTAATTTCGATAATTCTAAATTCACTTATTTTCAGTCAAGGCCACTCTACGTTCTTTGTCCACACGGTTTTTTTGTTTTAAAATAAAAAATGTACTTTATTTATACCATATAAGAACTTTTCCTGGTACGACTAATAATAATAATATAAAAAAAAACAATTACACAGCTATGCAATACAAATCTGCAGTATCGGCAAAGGAATTCCTGGTTGCTTCGTTGGGATCAATAAAATCATTTAAAAAACAAATAATAACAAGCCCATTTTTTTTCTATGCTCGAGAGATTTTGGCTAGATATTATTTTTTATCTCGACGGTTATGGGGTTGGAGGTTAGGCGTGTGTGTTGCCACGTTCCGCGGGTGATCACCTATCCGGGAATTACCAACTACATACAATAAACCCATTTACAGTGAATTTGATAATATTTCAATAAACACCATTTATACAACAACACTATAGTCTATAATGTCGTTTTTTTTTAAAAAAAAAATTTACGTATATACATATATATAAATATAAAAAAATCCTTTTCACGTCTATTTTATATTAATTAATTAATGCGTTTAGAATGTTTAGATACGGCGTCTGCGCGGAGGACGATTGCGCCGAGGAACGCCGCCTGGCCCGCGATTCGCCGTCGTCGTCGTCGCCGATGTCGCGGCGGTCCGGTGCACAGGAACAGCGCCCGCAGCCGACCTACTCGCTCGCCCGCTGGACCGACGGACAGTGCTACGAGCTGGGCACGCGCGGCCCGTGCACCGGCCGCGAACAGTTCGCAGTGCTCCGGGCCACGGCGCGGCCGGGTTGCGCCAGGCTGTCTGTCGAGCTGACGGTACTGCCCGAGACCACGGACGGATGCGAGACCGACCACTGGGGAGATTGCGTGGAAGGGGTAGAAGTGTGGACGTCGTCGGACGAGCTGAGAGACGCGTTGCTCCAGAGCGCCAATAGGTACAGTCAAAAGACGCAAATGGCGCGAGCAAACCCGCCCGCGGTTCCCCGTCCCCGTCGTCTGTAGGTCGCGGTGCTATAGCCGTCGGCGCGCACAGGCGTTATCCCTGCCCCGCAAACCGCGTGACCCCCCCCCACAACCAAGCGGGCGGCGGGTTTAAGATATTGTCCGAAAGTGGAAGGGGAGAGAGGATATCGGAAGTCGAGCGTTATACGATGGGTCGTTGGATAGGTAAAAAAAAAAAAAAAACGATTTCCCACCACAGACTACATTATTATTATTGTTATTATTATTATTATTATTATTATTATTATATTCTACAACGAAAACGAATTTAATTTTTAATTTTTTAACTCGATTGATTTACGCACGTACACTGTTAATAATTAATAAATTTATTACATTATTATTTCGCCCACGCTTTTCAATACGGAACGCGGTAAAATATTTACAAAATCAACTCCGCGTAGTCTTCTATTCGTAAACAACACGGTATTATAATAATACGACGATATGCCATTCCAAGCCCCTCTCGATAAAAATAAAACCGCACGAGTGTCGAGTGTGCCGGTATTCTACACACGTAGTCTTACTCTATTATTGAACTTAATATATAAATTATTTTAGTCCCGCCTACGCCCTATAAGTGCCCATATCAACGACCGCGGTGGTATGTAACGTCGCTTGCTGTTTACTGCAAACGATCGAAACTCGGAAGTACCGAGAAATATTATAATATTTATAACGCACCTCTAAAAATAAATATAATTTACAATAATATTTTTTGGTTTTATGATTTCAGATCCGACTTTTGTCGCTAATGTTTTGATTTATAATATTGCATGTCCCACCTTTTTCTTCACCACGATAACCTCAATAATCAGGCCGATCAATGTTTTGTTTTAGCTCAATATCTTTAATTAATAATAGGTATACATATAGATTATAGACTTTAAGTTATAACTACTAGTTATTACATCAAACGCGATACCACGTAAACACCTCATGAATTTATGATTGTGCGCTTTCTATAATTATTTTAACAAGCCTTTGTAGAATAAGTCGTCGTCATCCTATCACAGAATATTATCGACCGTAAAATTATAACAACATTTTACACATTACAGACGACTTATTTTACTACTGTACTTCCACCACATATATATTTGGTTAATTTTTTAGCCAAAATACAAAATAATACAGTGTGATTTTATTTAGGTGAATATCGAGGCTATATATTAAAAAATTTAGGTAAATACGATATTTTTTCTTTTCTTAAACATTTAAACACATTTACTATTTAGTACTTATAATAATTAATATATTTTATTAAATTCTTAATGATTTTAATAATTTTTATATGGCTTTGGCTATTATTAGTTTCTATGAGTATAAAAAATATATAAATATTCCACAAATATTCCGTTCTCTAATCTCTACTTAGTTTAAAAAATAAACCGATTCAAAATAACTAATATTAACGTATATTATTATAAACAGTAATTTTTCCACTCGTTAAAATGTAAGTGTTCAACTCGTACTTTTTCGGTTTAAAATTAAAATAATCTTCCGTATGCAATATTAAATATTAGAATTTACAAATGTTGAAAATGTATACATATATTATACATTACATTATAATAAAAGTAAACAAATATTTTCGGTTATTTCTCATATAAAATATTCGTGTACATTAAATTAATCAAACTGAGCGGTATTTTGTTATTATTACAAGCTTACAAGCTTATAGAATTAATAACATGAGTCATGATGACGTGTCACACACTCACACGTATAATATAGTACGTGATACGTCATATATGACATAGTAGGTATTCATACAAATAAAAATTAAAAATAATTGGCATTTTTTTATCAACAGATAATATCATCACATGTTATATTTTTTCGTACAATCCGTAAAATAATAACTATATTCATCTCTTTTTTGACAATTTATTAACTATATTTTTTTTCATGAATGTATGGTATTTAGCCCACAACACATTTTAACGTCAATGCTTGTATGAAAATGCATAACTATGTTTAACTATTTTACAGAAATTATCAATTCAATTAATAATAAAATGTCATTGTTGTTTTCGTTGACACTGTTGCAATACTTATGAAATATAATAATAAATAAGCAATCTTTATAAGGTAAGTAAAATTTGTGTAATTTAACGTTTTATTACTTTTAATTTTAAGGAATGTGTTAGATTAAAGAAATTATGTTTGAATTAATTAAAAGTGTATGAAATTATTTCAAAGCCTAAATCAATTTAAAATAATGATGTGTCTTATCACGATTATGCTCTATTGCGTTTAATGTTTAATATTCTTTCTCATTCTTCACATCGTACCTATAGCAACAGACAGTTATATTTTAATTTTTCTTCTTAAAGTACTTTAGAAGCTCTGGAGTCACTTTCTCGTATCCGAATTTAAGGTTTCAACCTGTACAACGCGAAACCGGGTTAGTCCAGTTCTATGTCACACATCATGCCATAGGCTATGGTTAATAAAATTAAAAATTTACAAACATCCACTACCTACTCCATACATATGTTTTTTAGAGTCAATCAAAGTGTACCATAGCTTGTTTTAATTAAGCTCTCTGGCTACCTTTATCTTTTAAATATTCGGTAAATTTAAATTTGATTAATGACTTTAAATGTATTACCTGTTTTAATCAGTGGATTTACCTTTAGTTTTTTTCTCGTGTCATTTGTTATCCTTAACCTATGCATGCTATATTGCTAAATATAGTTAGCATTAAATATATATTTAAATTATTTAAAACATATGGCTTTAAAATTAATTTATTACACTTTTGATAAATTATTTAAACTACCTACTTTGACATTAATTCAATCGATTTTTATTGTTTTATCATAAAAACTACACAGTCATAATTTATAAATATACTTTTCTTCAATATTTTGTTAGTTATCTACTTTCTAGAAATCAAATTAAATAAAAAAAAAATAATAGCAAAAAACCCAAACCATTTCCTACAGTCCAGTTTATTATAGAATTTAATATTGATTCTATACAGACAAAATTGTTTGACCTTTCGCCAAAACTCTTCCATTCTCTCTACATTAAAGCGACGATGTATTTTAGAGACTAGTCGTCTTTATTATATTAAATAGTTCAGGGGATTTGAGATAAATTTTATATAACTTCTATAAATCATGCCAATAAACCATACATCAACAATTTTATTATATACACAATATGTACCTTACATATTATCAAATTAAAAAGTAAATGTTTAATAAAATTATTTTATAGTTTAATTAACTACTTAATTAATATACTTATATACCTGTAGGTGCAGTATACAGAAATACATTATGGTAAATTGAATGATAAATCAATTATTGGTAATTAATAAATTTAACAAATACAATCAATTAATATTTTTAAGTAGTCATAATAATTTAATGAAAATATAGAGTGCACTTATTGTACAAAAAATGTATTTTTAAATTTAAAGGGTAAATTATTATTTTATTACTATAAGAAATAATCAAATTAATTTAATTCAAAATTATTTATAAATTTTTATTATTTTATTAAGTTTCTAAACATTATGCTTGTGTAATTTAAGATGTCCATATAATTATTTTAAACTATTTATTATATTTACTATTGACTATTGTTATATATTAAAAATAGTTCAAAAATACATAAGTTACAAAATTATTTAACACCTATACCTATTAATTAAAATATATTTATATGTATAATAATAACATATACTTACTTAAATTAAACTTTAAAATTATAAACTAAAAATAAGAATGTATACCATAATATGCACGATTGATTTTATCAATTATTATAGATATCAAAACAATTATTGTATATTAAATGTTTATAAAAATTAATAAATAAAATAATATGCTTTTATATATATATTAATGTGTAGTTTTTAATTTACTAAAAATTAACAGGATGGTCGTCAACATATTACTATTATATCTGCTCTTTAGATTTGTATAATCTAAACAACGAATACAGCTTATATATCAAAATAAAACAGTATGGTAACAATTTAGCGATTCGTTCTTCAGAAATATCTAATTTTAAACTATATAGGTATATTGTTGATATTTTAGTTTAGTATTGTAAAGTAACTTTAAATTTTCAACTTTCGACTACCCCTTTACAAAAAAAAATCTGTAAAAACCGGATAAGTGACCTCATCAATCCGTCTTTCGTGTAATGAAGTGATTTAAAATTGTATCGCAAAACGATTAGTCATTACTCATTACTCATTAGTCTATCATTTTATATATAGGAGATGCCTAAACCGTAAAATCCAAACAAAAACAATAATAATGATAATATAATATTTGGTATATTTATACATTTTACACATAATATTATAATAGTACGATATTGTCGATCACGTAGTATTATTAATACTATATTATAACTATAATAGTAAATAGTATACAATATAATATCGACAACCGATTCCGTCATGATAACATTATTACTATAATGTGAAAAAAAAATAAATACTAAGTATAAATAAAAACGTCTGATGTCCCCCGCACCGCCCCGAACAACGATTGCAGATTGCAGACAGACGTGGCAGACATAGCGGCGACGACCGCGTCTGCCAAGGTCAACCCCTTCTCGTGTCTGCGCTCGAACGATGGTCAGTCGCTGCTGTCCAAGGGATTCGTATTCGCCGACGTCGACACGTCGTCTTCACTGTTCATTTGGTCGCAAGGTTTCCGATCGAACACAGCCCGACACACGACTTTTACTTTAGACACTGTCCCTTGCCACCACCCCGTCTGACTATAAATTTCAATAAAAATCGTACAACTATAATGGCTGACTTACTGGTGGACATGGACTACGCCATAATGACCATCAACTCGCAGATAGTGTACAAGCCGACCAGCCAGCGCGATGACCCGGAGCCCGACAACGACCGCGAGGTGTACGTGGGAAACTTGCCGCAACACTACACCATCGAGAAGTTCGTCAACTTTGCTAAGTAAGCATATACACCGCCCAGAAGGGACATTATACTATTATAGTGCAAAGACGCTGTATTTTGTCTCAGGCGACAATTTGAAAATTATTGTCGTTCAACACGATAAAATTTTGTCAGTTACGATTCACAGACCTTCCTCTCCCCCGTAAATGGCCAAATGACATATTTTGGATTTTATTTTACGGCAATCTGTTCGTACTTCACAAGGTGTAATGATTTTCTTGTAAAAACAAGAAAAAAATAATCTGCAAAAATAAATGCATTATGTTAAATGTTAACGGGTATAATAATACTCCTTCACTTGTCTTATTTTATATGATCTAATTCCAAGGAGACAGCACCGTTGACTGTTGAGCATAGTGACCTCATACATCAGCTGATGTATCTACTACGTATAAAGCACCATTTAATAATGTTTTTTGTTCATATTGAACAATGAAATTATCGATAAATTTTACTGTTTTTTTGCACTTTGCAAATTTTAATGAAGCGGAATCATGCTGCGATATTCTTTTTATAGACAATTATTAAATTTATTTTATGTTATATACTAGATAATATCTTTTACTTAATACGATAATTTTTTTTTTCATTCGAAATTCATGATGCTTGTATCGAATTAATTATTGAGTATTGACGATAATATATAATATTATCTTTTAACGGGATGTAAAAACGAATACAAAATAATTTATAATATTAATACTATCTGTCGATCTCCATAAAAATAATAAGTTATCTAGGTACTGTTTAAACCTACTTACCAGCCATTGTGGACAAATCCAAATTTATTAGTTTAGAATTTTTTAAACATAATATTACAGTATATATGTATACATTATTTATCCAATAAATATATATCTACTACCACCTATATTATTGCGATAATTTATTTTAAATATACCTATCGTACATATTTATTAATATTATGCCTACAATTGCGTATAATCAGTCCTCGATTTATACATTCATTAACGCAGTACAATTGAAGTTATTGGGCTTCTAAATTAAATTAAATTGTATTGGTTAAAACATAATTATTAAATATTCAAGAACACTTAAACATTCATAAGTACCCACCTACATTTAATAACGTAATATTTATATTGTTAATTTACAAAATAAAACGATTTTTTTTAAAAACAATCTATATTTTTGATTACTAATTTTTTTAAGTCTAATTTTATTAAAGTTTTCACAAACATTTTCTCGCTTTTTGTTTTAAAAATTTTTCAACAATATCATCGAAACTCGAAATTTCTGAATAAAAAATATAGTTACAAATACAAATAATTTTGTTTGCTTATTGTTGGTAGACCTTTTTTCAAATGAACCCAGAGCAAATGTATAAGTACAACTAACAGTACGCATCGTTTTATAATAATTATCAAATGAAATAAATTTGATTTATTTATAAAATAAAAGTTGTTAACATTATTTATTAAGTATGCAATTCAATATTTGTATCAACAAAAAAATAAACTGTATTTTGAAAAAGATTATGATAGATGGTAGTATAGGTTCCTAGTGTTCCTACCTAATTATTGAACTGAAAATATTGAAATCAATTTATCAATTTTAACTTCACTAATAATAATTAGTAATTTACTAACTTTGGTATTCTATTATTAATATCATATTAAATGAAAATTCTAACTTATATTTATTAGGTGCATTTTAATTTTAATTGAAAGTTTTAGTAATAAATTAATTTTAATTATAAGTGTAAAAATCTACAAGAAAGTTCTATTTCCAATTTTCATCAACATGTTTAATTAAAACATATTTAAACTTCAAAATATTTATCAACTTTTGTATATTTCAGAAAATGTGGTCCAATTTACAGTGTGCGACTACTAAAAGGCAGTGGAGGTTTAAATAAAGGTTTTGGTTATATAATGTATAGAAGTTTAGCTGCAGTTGACATTGCCATAGAAACATATAATGGAACATTCTTGACAGAAAGTGATACTAATAAGCCACTGATTGTTCAAAAGAGCCTACGCAATACAATTATGATGATATATGGGCTATCACAAAGAAACAACAATAAATACTACATCAGAACTGTAGGCGTTTATTATTATTAACTAGATTTACTAATTCAGCTATTTATTTCTATAAAAATACCTACTTACTTTTGTTTTAGGAAATAAACTATTTTGTGATCAACCATCCATCGTTATTGCTGAAATTTGAATGTGAAGATGATACAAAGTTATTCATATCTTTTAAATCATTAAAGTAAAATAGACAAAAATACTTTTAGAGAGTTTAAAAATGTAATTAACACATGGTTTTTATCATTATTAAATTTAGAGCAGCACAAATTTTTAAGAAAAAACTAAAAGATGCGTTTCATATGTATGGAGCTAAAATGTATTATTTTAATGATACAGAAAATTGGGTAAGTTATAAATTAAAAATGAATACAATTTTAAATGCACCTATAATTTAGTTTAATAGATATTAGAATTAACATAAGTAGAAAGTTGATTAAATAAATAGGTACTTATTTTACTACATCATTAATATAAATTGATTAAAATAAAATAAAGTAATAACAATACTATAAAAATATACCTAATTGAAAAAACTAAATATTAGTAAATTATCTTTTAAGAATTAATACTTACTAAGTTATTAATTTTTAAATTTTTATAACTAGAAAAAAATTTAATTTAATCTTTTTAAAAAGAGAGCCAAAGCTTAATTTAGTATATCTATTATTTAATATTTATATTTGTATTTTGGTATCAAATAAATATTATTAGTATTGTTATCACCAATATATTTAGTATAACAGCTTACCTACTAATAAAGATCACTTTTATTTGTTTTTTAAATAGTTATACTTCTTTCTATTTGAACAATTTTAATGCTTATGCTTTTATATTTAAATAAAAATTATAAACAATATTTGTACACAGTAAATTAATAATTTGTAGGCTCAATAATTTATGTAAATCAATTATAATTTAAAATCTAAACATTTTTTGGAACATTGAATTGTTTTTAATTATCAACTGAAAAGTCTCAGTGTAGTTTAAAAATTCTTCAAGCTAAAGTTTATAACACTATTAGCAATTATTGTTAATTATTGAATTTAGGTACTACTTACTAATTTATTATTTCTAATTATTTTTTAAATATTAAAAAAAAATAAAATTCAATATTTTAACTAAGATATCAATAAATATTACAAATTTACATTATTTAGTAGCTTAATAGTTAATATGTTAGAAATATTATCATAATTAATTTGAAAAAAATAATCTATAGGTACACTTCTATTAAGAATTTAGAGTTTTTTTTTAATTATGTTTGTAAAAAATTTATAAATAAGTATTTGAAAAACATAAAAATGTGTATAGGCACAAGTATGAAGGAAAATATTCAATTAATACGTAGGTTTAATAATTTTCTTTACATGATATTATAAAACTGTAGTAACAAGTAGGTTGTGTCTTTTGAAATGATATTGTTTGTAAATTAGTTTAGATAGATAATGATTATGATAATAATAATGCTAAATAAGTAGGTATACCAAGAACAAAATTATAAAAAAAATATAAACTAACCAATAATATTAACTATAATTTAATTATATTATAAAAATGTTTATGTCATAAAAAATATCCAAATCTTGAAGATCTAAACTATATCTTAAAATTTAATAAAAAATTAAAAACAAATGTAACCTACCTTGAGTTTATTAACTTATGTAAATTAGGAAAATTATTTAAAATTAAACCTGTTTAGGTTTAACTTACCTAACGGTTCAATTTGTGATCTATACTTTCATTAATTTACGATTTGATACATAATCTGTAAGTGCAAGAATTTACAGTTTGATACATAATCTAAAATTTAATTTAACAATTAATTTAACTAGGTACCTAATCTTTAAACTCATTTTAAAATGTTGACATTAATTACTTTCTGCATCTTTTTGATCAGTTAGTCTTCAAAAAATAATTAAGACTTATGTTTTTAGATGTAAATCTAGTAAAGGAGACTTTCTGTTTTTTTAACATTTTATTTGAATTTCATTTTATTCCATTGTTATAAAGTAGAAGAGTTTTTTGGTTTTGTTTTACTACGAAAAAATAATATAGCTGTATAGGTACATCATATCAATAATGACAATTACTACACTAAAAAAACAATTAGGTCAACACAATTTTATTGATAGACAAAAAAACATAATTTATAGACCGCATATTAAGCCGTTACTTTTTTTAATAACATTAACATTATAACAATTAAGTTATTTCATAATTATTTTTATGTAATTACACTGATTAACATTATCACTTTGACTGAATAGTTCATAGTTAATTATCTTTTATTAGTAAAATGCATTATTATACATATTATTATCATAAATAATATTAACAATGAATATTACATTAACTTAGCAATTAGGTAGGTACTAAAATAATAATTTTTAGAATAATTCAATATTAGTATTTAATAGAGAAGTTTTTAAGTTAAATTACATTTCAAGTTATTAATTTCTAATCTAAAGTTCTAATAGAAACTGGAAACTTAAAAAAACATCGTACCCCATGGTGGCATGGCCCTCATGTCCTGACTTAGTCTTATTAACATACATGTACTATATAATAAAGTATAATAAACAGTATAAAACGAATTCGGCTAAACGCAAATTTGCTATATTGTACGTTAGTAAGAAGGAGACAACACATGTGAGTACGATGTTCTCTTAATATTTCTATAGTAGGTATAAAATTTAAAATTGAGTTGGTATTTGAACTTCGACTGTCTTGAATGTCTTGATAATATAAGCCATAAGGATTTTTAATTTTCGATTTAAAAACTAATAAAAAAATCATGATAAGAAATAATAATTGTAGAAAATAGATAACTCTTATCAACATTCATTATTGAAACCGATAGATAATATAAGTATCTCTTATTTATGATCAAAGCACGTTTTAAATATAATTTGTTGATCTGTATTTTCTAAACAGTTTTCTGCCTATAGCTTTGTACAATTTTTTAATATTGTTCCAATTTAAATATTCTATAATTATCGTGTTATAACTTTTTCGATTTCAATTTATAGTTTAAATTTGATTATTCGTATTTAAACCATGTCTAACTCTGTATATGATACTTATGTATCTCCTCTTTCAACAAGATATGCATCGACAGAAATGAAATTCAATTTTAGTGACAGAAAAAAATTTACTACATGGAGAAATCTTTGGACTTTGCTAGCCCAAGCTGAACAGGTAATTTTTTATTACATCCATAGTCATTTATTTTAACATTCTGGTTTCACACATTGCTTAAAATATAAATTATGATTAAAAAAGGTTGGTGAATACCATTCTGCAGTATATTATCTAGGTATCGAATAGGTCACTGTAATGGATGTGTTAAATTTAAATTCAATGATATAGCATTGTATATAAAAAAAAATTCTGGCCTGTCAGCATATATTACACTAGTACATTTTATGTTTTTTAATATTGTTATTCAAGTAATTTATTTTACTATTATTATTATGATAGGTTGATTCAGTTTTTGCTGAAAATATTGCTTTTATTACCTATATTATTAAAATATAATTATTATCATAATAATAAGTATAATTTATGTCACATTATTTAATTGTTATTAACTGTTAGGTATTTGTTTTTAAAATAAATGAAATACATTATTTCAAAAAAATTTTCTGCTAATATTTCTGTTTTTCTTTAATTTTTTTTTGTTTTCTTCAATTATTAAATTAAATACTGGGAATTTTCACTTTTGAATTAAGTAACAACTAGATCTAATTTTCTATCAGAAATTATTCTCTTAGTTAAAAATTAAAGTATTTTTAATGTTCTAAAAGGTGATAACAACTACAAAAAATAAAAAAAAACATCATTATCGTTCCACTTAGCATCTAAATTAGATTTTTATACCTATTTGTAAATATTCTTCTTTTTTTTTCAATTAGGTATCCAATTACACTTATTATCAATTGCAACTTACAAACTTTTTTTTTTGTCATTATGATATACAATTTATTGTATAGATACATTGTTTATTGTTAGTATATCTAGTTGTTTTATTTAGTATTTCAGGTGTTCGTAACACTTACTAAAATATAAATCTCTGAAATAAGTAGGTACTTATTGTCATAGTTGCCCTTTAGGGGGGAGGAAAAAAGGGCACTTCCCCCTGGAAAAATAACATTAACTAATAATTGAATAAATATTACTCATGATATTTTACCTAATGACTTGAAAATTATATGACAATTGCTTAACTACATTTAAATGAAATGAATGAAATAAAAAAAATTTTAGTTCTTATTTACTAATCTCAAATAATATATTAGATTATATTTTACTTTCTATTTTTTCCTGTACTAAATTTATTTTAATTAACTGTGATATATCAACACAAATATTAAATATATAAATAATAGCATATAATTATATCAAATTTATATTTATATATTTGTTGAAGTAAGATTATGTCTTTATTTAGCTTAAATTTGTAGTTTTTATTCTTCTTTCCCTTAAAATGTTACTTACCCAATGTGATTTATACTTATCATAAGTTGTAAGATTATATTTTAATATACATAATATTTAAACTAAGTTAGATATATTATACAAATTATACTTACCTATTATACTAAACTTAAAACCAAAGTACCTACCTACATATTTAATAGATTTTAGAGGGCCAAAAATGTTAAATACTAAGGAATTATTTAATTAATGATCGTGAGAATTCTGAATTTAAAAAACTAGCTTGCTTAAGTACCTATATATGTTAATGATTGAGGTTGATAGTTTTCTTCCTCATAAGTACTTGATTTTATTATTGATTGGAAATTGTATATTAAAGAATAAGGAAATAATTAAGTTATATTCTATCACATTGATTTTGATTGTTATAATGACCTATTAGTATAATTTAGTATTGAATTAATTTTAAAAACAACTTTGGTTATTAACGTTAAATTAGGTTTAAGCAAACCTGTAATGTGTAATTAAAATATTGTATTATTCAATATTAGTAGTAGTTGTTTTATGTAAGTAGCTATTATATATATTATTTGCTTGGAATTTTACAAATTCATAATTAATATTATTAACAGCGTAGATGAACATTTTATTAGTGTAGCTATAGCGTGGTAGTAATGAAAGATTATGTAAACATATATTATTGCTGTCTAGATACACCTTTTAAATAATAATATACAATTCATTTTTAAATTTTCTATTGAAGGAAAGGTGGGAAGATTTAAAGAAGAATATTTCAATAAATCCACAAGGTAATCGAGTGCGATTTGTTCCTATTATTCCTAACAATAATCAACGTATTAATATATCACCAACAAATACATCCAAAAGCATGCTATTTAAACCATTTAAACCGAATCACATTAACAACTGTCCCAGCAAAGAAAATGTTAACTTGACGCAACATAAAAATAATGACAAGGAATATAAAATTATTGCACCAGTTATGCATATGGATTCTCATGTTCATCCGTCTAGATTTAATATGAATAACCAAAAGGTTGTTGGTCTACAATTATCCCAAAAACAGCAAGAAGTAAAAAAGCTTAAAACGTTAAATTCTTTTGTAGAGAATTATAATATGAATGAATTAGAAAATAGCTTACCTAAATTTCCATTACGCACTATTTGGACTAATGACAATAGTTCAAACGATTTTGGATGTAGTTTACCAACTAAAATCCATACATTTAAAAAGCCGTTTTCAACAAATTTAAATTGTTTATCCACTACTAAACAGAGTACAAACTATATGCTAAATTCTAAGTATCAAAAACAGTCTCAAATAATACCAACAATAACAAACAAAGTAAACACCTCGAGTTACTTTAAATCCTCATATCCCCTATCTGCATATTCAGGCCAAAAGTTACATCCCATAGTTGAAAATATAAGTACATCATTTTTTACAGTTGATAATGAAAACTTATCTCCTGTCACTGGTCAGAACATCAATACATTAGAACAGTACTCTTTAGGTTCTATTAATCAACCTTTTAACGTGGATGATATATGGAAAGATTATCAGTGTCAAACACCAAGAATGTGATAGATATGTAGGTACTTATATTACATTAACAATGTCCCACAGTCTTATTGACTAATCGTTCTTCTTTACTGAAATTGGTTTTAAATAATGTCAATACCATAGATATATATAACACTAAGATTTGATTAAAAAAAATGTTTTTATAAGCTTAGGTGTGTAACATAAATATTCCATTAGCACTTAGATAATAAAATATAATTTTTCTGTGATATCTTGAGACACATATTAATGACATTTTGTGAAATTATTTTATTTAATATACCATAGATTAATTTTAGAAAATTGAAATACAGTGCAAAAATATAAAAAATTATAATTTTTAACAATCATTGAATACATTTTACAGAAATTCTTAATATATAAAATATTTGTAAAAACCATTAACCTATAGAACATTCCAACAAATGATTCCATTTAGTAACCTTAAAATTTAAATGTTCCTCTAGATCTTACATAACACATTTACTTTTATCTTTATTAAAATAATTAAAATGATTAATATATTTAAAACTCAGTCCTTAATTTTTAATTACACTATTCAACATTATAATTAATTTTTTTTTATATTTATTTTGGTATAATATATAATATATGAGTGTATTATTTGACCAATTAATATTTGTATAAAATTAATATATATATATATATATATATATATATTTTTTTTTTTTAACTTTTGATTATTATTAATACTTTATGATGTTATGTTTAATAAAAATGTTTTTTAAATTCTTGATATTAAATTTATCATTTATTTTAATAATAATAAAATTTATTATGTCTATTTAATTAAACATATATACTGAGGTATTGTTTTATTAAAACAAAAAATAACCATAATAACCATAATATAGTATGTAAATAGGTCTATATTCTACATAATATTAAAATTATGTTTATTGAAGACACAAATACCAAACTACCTTTTTAATAATATGAATTATATAAATAGTTAGTAAAAAAATAATAGTATCACTTACAAATATAGTTAACATATATGACATAATTTAAAGTGTAAAAAATATATAAATATATGCTAATTAGATATAATAATGAGGTTATCACAAGGGCTAGGTAGTAGGCAGTAGATTATAAGTTTTCAGTTTATGCTGAATGGGCGAAAAAATAGTTGGATTAACTTAGTAAAAATTTGAATCATTGCCTAGAGATACTTATAAGTACAATTTAATCTTATGATTTTTAATTAAAATATTACTCGCATTTTTTGAGTTTTTTTAGATTAAAATTCTAAGGCTATCAATTTTTGAGTTTTAAAAGCACTTGATTGATGTAAATTATAATTTAGTTTTTCACATAGCAAGTTGTACCATTAACTATTGTTAAGACTATATTATCTAGCCATTTAAACAAACTTCTTAATGAATATAAAATAAAATGCAGTTTGCAAAAACAGTAATATAAGACTTTGTATACCTAATTTCTATACATCTATGTATTTTATGATAGAGGTTGGTTTAAAATTTAAAAAAAATTTTGTTGTATGTTTGTTTTACGGCAGTATCATTACATTAACTGTCGGACCCCAGATATATTGATCGTACATTAATATATATTATGTATTACCTATCGGCTATCTGTGAACCGTAGGGTTGCTGAATTTAATGTTACAATATTGTATTCGTCGTGTTATTATTATTATAACTATACATAAAAAAGTGCAATTTACGTGAGAAAAACGTCGATATGATATAATGAATAGCTGTGAATTTTTTGTGACGTTTGATAAATAATAAAATGGTGATAACTATGAAAAAAATAACATGTTCTAAAAGCCGATTCTAAATTATGTCCTGTGGCAGAGTATACGATGTAGATAGGCAGATGGGCACTCGTATACTTTATTTGCGCGATTTCATCCGTACCTGAAAGTCAACACAAAATCGGCGAAAAATGTGATGGATGTCAGAGTGGCTGTGATCGCCGAGGATATCATCAGATCCATTCTGTTCTTGGATGGACGTACCTGGAGAGCGAACTGGAGCGCTCTCCAGTCGGAGAATATTATGCCGGCGGCTATAGCCAGCATCACACCATACCAGCACGACACGATTAAGCACTGAAAATGTAGACAAAAAAACACAACTTATTATACTATGACAAACGACACGAAGACAAGTGTAATATTTTATCATCACGCAGTATATAGTAAGTTCGTCTACCATCTTTGACCGTAGTACAATATTGTAATATAATTAAATATATTATGACCGTCATAGTAATATTGTATACTATAGAATACCATGTAATAATATAGTGTTGAATAAGCGGTGGTGGCATTGGGGAGCTAATCCCCTGAATATATAGGTACATAATTTCCCAAACATAAATGATATTGAATAGCAAGAAATTAGATAAGAACAAGGATGCTGCATGACTTTTTCTTAAATTTGGTTATTCTCAATATTGAAAGATAAAGAGGACATCGTGTACGCATTTACATCTTATGCTAACGTACATCATAGCAAATTTGTGTTCAGCAAAATCAATTTTATACTATTAAAGTTAATTTACCAGTTAATAAACTTGAATGTTAAAATTATTACGTAGAACGTTATCTATGCTTTTATTGGCATTTTAATTTTAAAGTGATTTAAAGCTAAGCATAATGTCAAAACTTTAAAATGTTAATAACCCAATTTAAAATAATAATATCAATAAAAGTCTAAGTGATGTCCTTGACAATACTCTTACCTTTAAGTTTTAGGATATAGCCGATAATATGCGTAAAATGACCCTAATATTAAAGCTTACATCATAAAAAATATAACGATGAACACAAATTTGCTATGTTGCAACATAAAATCTCAGTCTTACAACTAAGACTGATACAACACAGTGAGTACAACATCTTCTTAATTTAAAATATCTATAAAATAATTAGGTACATTAAAATTGAAAATATGTAATCTTAAAGACAAAAAATTTGTATAAAAATAAAGTTTAAATTAGTTAATTAAAATAATATATAAACTTAGCGGTGAAATATTGGTAGTAGGTGATATTTTCATCTAGATTAATTACAAATTATGAAAACTAGCCTCTTCAAAATAAATAAATAGATTCTATAATCCATAATCAATAAGTGACGACGTGATGTTCAATTCTGATTTGTAATCTACAATTTATCTAAACCTTAATAAATGTAATTGATGTGTTTTCATCCATTTCACGTATTTTTTTCTATTTATAAAACCTAAAAGTGCGTGTCACTATTAATTAATGTTATATACAAATTTAATAGATGAAATATTACATTAAACTTTATTTTATTCCTATATAGTTCCTACCTATATAGAAATCGGAGTTCAATTTGTCTATTTATGTAAATATATATACAAACAAAAATTACGACGAGGCCGCGAGAATCTTACAAATTTTACAACAATCATATTATTATAATATATATAATATTTCCGATTTTTGAAAAATGTTCGGAGGGAAGGGGGTTGAATCCCTAAAACCTCATTTCTCTGTATACATGCCTGAAATAACAGTTGTATGCATTTTTATATTTAAAACACCTTTTTGCAAGGAAATATTTTTAATCGAGAATGTTCCTCCAGTGCTATTTATTTTACTGTGTAGTACAAAATTATAGTATTTTTCAAAAAATATATTGTATGTTCACAATTCTTTGTTACAAAGAGATTACAGTTGACCATTAACTCTCAAACATTTTACAGTATACTCATTATGGATGCATTATATTACTTGCGTCCACCAAAAAGGTATATTTTTTAGGTTGTAACTTTTAACCGGCAAATCGGCTGTATAATTAGTTTATAAACTATATTGTATAATAAACTTCATTATTTGTGGTATGAGGACAATTCAATTTGTAGATATAATTAATCTGTGTCAATCGTGGTATATCATAATAATTAGGTACATTATGATATATTGTATTTATAACCTATATATGTGTATTATGTGATGTAAAAATTGCAGAGAAACATGTATATATAATACAACTTGTTAGTTGTTAGATTCGATAAGATATAGAAATTACGTTGATAATCTATTGTATTTTACCTTTATTATATTTTCACATTTTACTTTAATTCAGTACAATTCGTCTTATTATGACAAAATGTAAAACATATGGATTTTTTTATTTTTTAAAAATTATATTATATTATATTATAAAATAAACATCAATTTTTTTTTTTTTATTATTAACATCATATTGATATCGATTATATCGATAGTTTCGGGACGAAAAAAAAGGTATACCGCGAGATACAAATAGGCTATGACCCTTTTTGATTTTTTTTTGCAACCTCCTAATAATAATTTTGGACGAAAGTAGTATGCACTGCTCATTATCACACTTTAGTAAATTTTTGATGTTTTTCAAACTGTTTTATAGAAATGTTTATGAAAAGGTTTGAATAAATCAAAACTTTATACAAGATATTACATTGTTTTTTTGTAAAAATGCGTAATAAATGATAATGTGTAAATGGTAAATATTTTTTGCGAGGAAAAAATTGGTGATAATATGTAATATCCTTGTAAAAAGGTACTGTGAACATAATATAAATAGGTACATAATACTATTCATAAGTATTTTAAACGTCTTTTGTCTGTTTAATTTTTCTTTTAAAATTTGTTTTTACCAGAAAAATGTAAAAAATGTTTACAGATTTGTTATATATTTTATTATATACTCGATGCGTATAGGCAATAATAGAATATCCTAAAAATCTATTTTCCGCGTATTCTTATATTCTTTACTTTACTACCAATGTGATTAACGGTAACAGCTAACTTACCGGCTTTTTCGGTATCTTTTGTTGTAAGAAATGGCTGACCACTATGAGAAGGTCGACCAAGACTGCGCCGGACAGAGCCGAGTACACGAAACCTGCTCTACCGGTGCTGGTGTGCAGTCTCGACGAGTACGGGCTGATGATCAGACAAATGCTAGTCAAGCCCAATATCTGAAATAATAAATACGAGGAAATCGTGAATTATGCAACCATCTGAAGGTATTTTTATTTTTAGATACCCGCGATAGTCGACGAATAGATTTCAATTAGAAAGCATAATTGCTTTTCGCTGCGTTTACATTTTATTGATTTCAAATATTCTATTGTAAGAAATACAAAGATTGTTCCCAGAGGGATACGCACACATAATAATATCAAACAGAATAAATTGCAAAACTTCAAAAAAAAAACGATCCTGATGCAAGTATATTAGCGTGTAAGTGTTAAATAGAGAAACTCTCTTTGCGGCCTGTCTTGATATTTTAGAAAAACTGCAAACATTCGCAGCTTTACATTTATTCTGCTTTTTCTATTTGCCCTCGGAAACTATGTATTTGCTATATAAATTGAAAAATCTCTTGGCCAAAGTAAATTTTCCATTTTCGTTCGATTAGGTCCAAAATATATTATGTAAACAAGTTTTGCATGGCCTATTTTAAAATATTTAATCAACAGCGGGTACCTACCTACTATATAGGTAATCTGATAGTATGCTTATGCTCTGTACTTATATAATATTGCAAACTGTTTTAATTCCTTCGCTTCAGATCGAAATTCCGAAAGTATATCGCATGTTTTCGGTAGGTACACCGTCGTTATCTAAGTATGAATATTACCATTTTCATTAACGTCACACGATGGCCTGTTTGAAGCAAACGGCTTGTATCTCTTCGTCGAAACTTAAATTTATATATAATATGTCCAATTGTATACGGTGATAATATACAGCCAGGTATAATATATATATATATATGTATATTGGAGTTATATTTTAATATAATACTCACGATTTCCACGACTTTGATTAGGAACGGTGAGGCGGCCAGCAGGGACTCTTTGAGTGATTTCTCGTTGGCCATGTTCGCGTAGGCCGACTACTGTAGACTGTCGACTAATCCTGTTGCGCGACAGACACGATGCGTACTGCACCTCCACAGGGGCGCGAAACAACTTAATTGGAACTAATGGAACGCGACCGCCACTGTTGCACCGATCCAAATTTACTTATATAAAAAAAAAAACTACACCGCTCCCTACCGCCGGACGTGCCCGTTTTCTTCGCCGTCGTCGCGTTTTACTCTTGTTCGTGCTGTTTTGTTTTTTTTACGTCGTATTCTGTTTATATAATATATTTATCACCACGGCACAAGTCGCGAGAGAGGAAGCATGTATAAATATTCTACCTATGTATTTTCACTGTATGTACTATGTATATATTATTTATATATATATACAATGGCTAAGTCAAATGACAAATAGATAAGACTTCGGTCGTGTATTTTAGTAAATAAATGAACTGATTATACTAGGCATGGTATATATCATAATATTGCTTTAGTCCGACACCGTTGTGCCCCTCTCCCGTCTCGGTCCGTCTGGGTGTGAACGTCGGCTGCTGAACGCTTTTCATATATCTACCTATATCATCCGGTCGAGTTTTCCCCGAGACGAATTGATCGGACGCACTAGCTGCACATAATATTGTAAATCTAGGTCTGCGTGTACGCGTCGTGCACATATTTCCCGCCACGAGATGTTTTCCGACGACAGACGTTGCGAGAAAACCAGAAAGCAGCAAAAACCCATTAAAATGTTATATTATTATTTCGTTACCAAACAAACAATACACTATAATTAAGTATACGACTGCACCACCGCCTTCGCGTAACCTGTTAATTATTATCGGTAATCGAAGTCAGCGGCCGCGAAACCATGGGATATAGCGAGATTGCGAAAAATTTTAAATTATTTGTTTTATATTTGCTGAAGTTTTTTTTGTTTAGTTTTGTTTTTTATTTCTGAAAGCTGTTTTTGTTTTCACTCTGCTTATAATGATTGTTTATTTACCCTGACAAAAAAAAAAAAAAAAATAAAAAAAAATAATACATATATAATGGAAATACTGATATTTTATCTATATGACAGAATCGTATTTTTAGCGCACGATTCACTTGAGAAATTCCGCCCCTCTTTTATAGGTGGATTGAGTGTCTAGTGTTAAACAAATAAAAATTATAAATGGATAAAAGTATGATACCACCCTTGTAATATTTTATACAAATTGTATATACCTACTTATGTAATGGTATCATTTATACATGTGCTTACTTTCACGCCATTTGAAATAATTTATTCCACCTCCGAATCCAAAATACAATATATACAATAACAACAAAAAATTACATTATATATTATAATTTTCTATAAATAGTTAGCTAAGCACGAGAAAGGGTCGTTAAATGTATTGCCCTCAAGGTTCCTCACCGATGAGTGGGGCTATTGCCGATCCTGCCCATAAAATAAATACAATATTTAGTGTAATAAATTCTATGCCCCACATGCGGGGTGTTTTTTCATTATTAGTTTTGTTGTCAATAAATTGTTGTTTTTTTTATAATCACTCTATTAGAGAGAAGCTGCTATTATCACATAATTGTTTGACCTTTTAATTATAAGATGAAAATATATCATTAATTCAAATAGTTCTATAATTTTTAAAGTTTAAGTAAGATGTGTGTAAATAATATATACTATTTATAAGCGTACAGCAAGTATGGCTAAGCAATTAAACGTATTAATTTTGTCACTATCGTTATTTATTAATTAAGTTTCATAATTATACTTACCGAAAAAATAACTCATACGAAATGACTTGTCTGTGGGTAGGTAACTTAATAACTTATCCACATATTTTATTAAATTTATTTATTTAATTTAAAACGTCAATAAAAAAAAAACCCTAACGCCATATTATATAATATTACGATTAAACATATTATATATTTAAATAATAAATAATAATGGATATATACGCACAATCATTGGATTTTCATTAGCCCTTTCTGCACTGCTAGTGTGTATTCTAGTGTGTAATTTTATTTATTCTGATTTTCTAATCGTTTTCCTCTATTAAAAACCTTTTTTTTTTTCAATTATTATTAACTTTTTTTCGCTGGCTTGATTATTGCGCGATAATACCGTCGATTTTTTTCCTACTGAAACGTTTCATTGGTTAATCACTTTTTTTATATACAATTATATTATTTGTGTGTCATTGGATTGTATACGAGTATATACATTGAAAATTATAATCTTTTTTGCTATATATACTTGTCCATGTATTTAAAAAATAATGTAAAAATTAAATCTTAACTCTAGGTTCTACAGAAGAGATATCTATGATATTGTTTAATCTTCATAACTCTTCGTTATCGTTAGAATTTCTTGTGTATGTGTATCGTGTGTCATTCTGTAAAATATAAATAATATTATATAAGCAATAGTATATTGTTTATTAAAATAAGATGTGTGTAGATATCATATTATGTATGATGTAGATATAACTTAACTTCTCAAAAAACTTCAACAGCGTATTCCCATCTAATTGTTTGCCTTAATATTATATTATTATCGTATTAGGACATTAGGTATTATTTTGAATCATCAGTTATTTCGACAATTTTAATGAATCAAAATGTAACATTTGAACAAATTTATAAATGTATTTAATTCCTCTTCGATTTTGTGCTTAGCGGAGTGCGTAGTATGTAGATGTATAATATAATAATATATAGATTTATAAGTACAATATTGTTATATAATTCGTTGCAGTCAGTTTACTCAGTGGTATAATACGTCTTAGAGTACGTATATAGTCACACTGGCGACAACGTATAGGTATATGTTATAGGAAATAGGTAGGTACTGTAGTAATTATTAGTCAATACATTATCTATCTTTCATGTGCTTCAAAATATCTTTCATAATAATAATAATAATAATAATAATATAAGCTTACTTTAATATTCACGTGAGTTGTTTTGTATTTGTATTACTCATATCAGTCCATATAATATAATATAATATAAACAGCATAAATAGGATCGCATTCATCAGATAGTATATTAAGTAATCATTAGTATTATACCTACAATATTATATTAAATAGAACAATATTATAAAATTTTAAGTGACTAAACTGGTAATTATTTTACAATCGTTTTATTTATTACCGATACACTAATAAAAGGGTATAATTGTTGGTTGTGCTGTTACTTAAGTTTTGATAATTTATTATTTCTGGAAATTTATGTGAAAAATATTTGAGTTTTTAATTCTTTTAAATAATATATTATGTATTTATTTATTATAAAATATATGGGCCGAGTCTTCTTTTACAAATTTAGGTAATAGTGTAAAATAAAACATACGAAATAGCTATAACAATTCAAATATAATAAGATAATATTTACCTAGGTATATGATAGGAATATATTTGAATATAACACTTGGACATCTTTGTTTGAATTGGTGTGTAAAAAATATAGTAGGTATATAATATTTTAGATCACGTTGAATCCAAGTTTATTTTTCAGATTCTGGACGCTTGAATTAGAAAATTTCTAACTAAATAGCACCTTTATTGTTTATAGGTACCTACTTAACTCTTTATCCTAATTACTAGTATCTGTAATTTTTGTAATAGTACGTTATACCATAATTTATTATATTTAAGTACGTTAATAAATAACTAATTATTTTCGATGAATTAATAAAAATTTTATAAAAACTATTGATTTCTATACAACTATTTAAGTGCAATATAATGAAACAATATTTTTGTTTCACATATTCTGTTTATTTTTTGCGATTGTTTTATAATGTTATAAGCAGTGTTAGTGCAATTTCCTCCGGGACTCCTTCCGGATTCATAGTCTTTGGTGTATGTTTATGTACATTGTTTATCAATACTCAGTGGAGCGTTAATTTTAAACAATTTCCAACTGTTTTAATTTAAAATTTCAATCTACATAATATTTTCTATTTTATAATTGTTGCGCTTTTAAATATAATACTTAAATAGTTCATTAATATTATTGTATACTATTTATTATTTAGACCATCGTATTACCTATTTATTACTACAATCGACGGCCCCTCGAAAAAAAACCTTAGAAAGAATGAAAAATACCAAAATAAAACAAATATTGCAATAGGTACTACAGATTAGCTATCTATTTTTTACTGAGGATCGTACATAGTACTTTAGTAAAATGTTTTCTTACAATGATCGCTTTTAATATTTTCTCATGCGTACGTTCGTATTATGGTATTTTAAAATTGATGTTTCTGTAGTTAGAGCGATCAGTTGAAGTCTGTGTCGAATGTAGATTGTAGATAATATATATAATATAACCTTTATACGTGTTAAAAAAAATTTAAATTAGTTCTTTATGTACAAATACGAACGATCGCAGGTGTAATGTATTTGTAATTACATACATGGCAATCAAATATATAAATATAACACATTACACAACTAACCAACTATTAACATAAAATGATATAATATAAACATATAACGATAAGACTATTTATATTTAAAAAACACTATTATTGCTTATCCGTGATAGGAATGTCGTTAGGTGTAAATTAGTAATAAGTCAGTAAAATAAGTAGAAAAAGGAAGTTAAGTAATTATTAACAATATTATTATTTATGTTCAAACGATTTTAAAGCACTATGATGAATTACACACACTCGTGTAGACCATTTTCTCGTGTTTATATTTCACGGTATCCTTTCGAATATTATTATACATATTTATACCGACAGATTTCCAGAGAATATACAAATACACATTCATATATGTGTTTTATTAATTGTGCCACTCGAAGAGCAAAATCGTCAAACTTATTTGTAAATTAGCTATATTTTAATTAACTTAAATTTGTCGCAGTCGTTCTTAATCAAACTCCATTTCTCTCGCAAAATGTATAAACGACAGTACAGTGTCCACTAGATAAATGGCACCGGAAAGAACGCACAACACGCCTACCGTGATCCCTATAGCACGTTCAGAAGACACGCTGATGTATTTGTTTTCGTTCTGATAACCAATCCAATAATGGAGCGCTATACCACCTACGGCGATAAACATGAACATTCCGACGAAATTCATTATGATATCCTAGAAAAAAAGTAAAAACATATATATAACGAAAGTATATACGATGACTATTAATCAGCGCGTTAAGTCCCTTTGATTGAAAAAAAAACTAAAACATAGCCATAGTTCTGCTTAAAATTTATTATTGTATATATTATTATTCATATATATTATATTAATATATATCTCATGATTATGCATAAGTGGCCTTCTCTTTTTTTATTTCATAGGCTCTTATATTTTATTTAAAATATAGTTTCTAAGTATGTCATAGTATTTTATTACAATTCATCATAACACGAAATTAAAATAACAAACTTTTTTGTGAAATATAATAAGTCGCCCACCTGTAAAACTACACGTTTTTATTTTTTGTGCCAAAATGAAAATAATTGATCACGGCTAACTTATATAAGTACAACAAATTTGTCGTTTTTTCTATAAATGTGAAGTATATTTATCATATACTTATATAATTTATGTATTTTTCACTTACCACAAGTGTTTTCTTCTGGTGGTTGGACCCGAACCCATACGATATCAGTATCACGACGGTGTATATGAAAAAACCGACAAAAATGCCAGAAGCGACGATTTCCGCATCTGGATTTTTTTCTTCGTTTAAATTCCACGTGCCGCCGACTCCCAAAAACCCTCCGCGATATCCGGTTCGATATAGAACCAAAATGATTATGTTCAACACCTATATATTTACATTTTACATATTATATATTCAATATATAGTAGTATATACAATATACACGTGCCACGATGTTTTAATATAACATGACCTGTAGAGTAGAATTTCTGGTTCGATTAAAACGTGACATCATTATAAGCTTTAAAAAAATGCATTCGGCGAAGGGGGCTGATCGACAGACAGCCGCCTATGATTTTAATGGACGGGGTGGCTGGATAATGGCCGATGGGTAATAATTTATAGTATTTACTGTTACGACAGGCATAGTTACACAAATATTTAACAGTTAATGCTTTTATCGTGATACGCGCGAGATAGTGAAATACTTATATATTAATATATTATAGACTTTGAAGAATTTAAAGTTTGCAACGCTACTGTATATATAATATATATATATTATGCAAACAAAATTCCCGTTGCCGAACGTTCACATATTTCTGCTGTAAATCACTTACCAATTTTACGACTTTGATGACCACCGTCCCTACGCTTGCTATGTTGACCATCGCGAATTCCGTTCAGAGCCTATATTAAACAATTTAATCGTCGTCCGCGGTCTGTACTAGTTGTGTGACGAATTGCACACGCCTACGCGATAGATATATTGCCACTGATGGCAGTTAGTTGCCACTGCAGTCGATTGTACGACGTGTTGAACGCGGCGGATGAGAGCTTTACCACGTTAGAGCGTTATCTTTATGACGGTGTGTTTGACGATCTGCCTATACCATATCGTCGGTGGCTTCGTGTGTGCACATTGCAGGTATATAGGATGGGCATCTATACAGTTATATCATAATGATATGTAGTTTGTATTTAATATGTAGACACTCCAAAGACTTTCGGTCGTATGATAGTATGCTATAAGTATTATCGGTATTAGCACTTGATCGTGTGTGTGTGTGTGTGTGTGTGCGAGCGCGTAAAAAAACGATGAAATATTAGATTAAATATTTGTGTGCACAAGAAAAAACATAAAAACGTATACGTACATATATATATATAAATATATGCTGTGTAATATATAATATGTGTGTGTGTGTTTACATGTATAGGTTTTACGTTAGTGTAATGTGTTAACTAATGTGTTAAATATACTCGTAGTGAGTAATAACACGGTAATGTATAAGCGTTCTTAAATCGCATTTAATTTATAAAAATGAATGCGTAATGGGTATATATACCTATGTATAAGTGATATACATACTGAGGTACTGGAATTTAATCGCCGCTGCACCCATAAACGTTTTGTAGGTAACAATTTTATTAAAGATTTTGTCTCGTCTTTTGTTGAGAGTAGTTTTATGTATGGCATATTATTATTGTAGTATAAAAATATAAAATGTAGGTACGTACAAATAAAATATCATGTACGTGATTTTTAATAAATGATGGAAAAGACATGGAAATGTTTCTTTGAGATTAAAATGTCCAATCGAAAAGAAACTTGTAAGTTGTAGCTTTTATCAACTGTAATCTGGGCGAGGGAACGTTATCACGATATTTTATAAGTTATCCAGGAAATGATTAATATTCCTTATGAACAAGTTTTCCGTGGCTAGGGGTTTGAGTACTCGCGCAAAAGATTTTTTTATCAATAAAAAGACTCTTTAGCTTTATAATTATTAATATATTTTAAATAATATTTAATTGTTGGTATTTTGGAAGGTGCGGTAGTTCCGTTTGTATTGATGGTGACTGTCGAACTGACTGCGGCATGTGTCATTTTTGTGATAAATAATATTTTGGCCACGGTAGAAAAGCGTCGAGCGTGTGTTTTTGAGGTGGTAAATTTTATATTATGTGAATCGATTAATATTTATTTATATGTTATATCATGTTAAAAATCTTGATTGTTACATAATATATTATGGTTTACAACATTGATAGGAACTTTCAAAACTATCAATAACTCTTTTGAAGGATTCAAAATGTGTAGAAAATACTGTATTGTGTATGGGTACTCCTTACAGTCCTTTGGTAATGTAGCAGTTTACCGGTACACGGCCCTAATTTATATACATTACAGTAATATTGCATGTGTTTACGTACTGTGTACCTAATTATATAGTCCGCCGAATGACGTGGATATAATATTATTAATGTTCAGGTCTCGGGTAGCATAAAATCGTTATTGGCGGATATAATTATAACGCGTGCAGACAACCATAGTGCGTACAATGCATGCGGCTACCGGCGCATGCGCTCCATTGGCATATTTCAGTTTCAATTAATACGTCATCTTGATAAATGATAATGCAATAATGTATAATATGTATATTATGTTATAGCTATTAACTATAACTCGCCTCGTCCACCGGCGTATTACAAATGCAATTGGTTCGTAGTGAAAATAATTCCTATATATACGCCACTGTTTGTTGTACATACTTTATGCATGTGTTAGGCATGCTATCAAACCATATATTTTTATGTACCTGTTTATCGGTTGTATTTGAGGATTTCCCGGATGTATATGCAAATGATCTAATGTATGGTATATATGCTCTTACATCACTCCTTGAATACAAACTCTGTGCCTACGTATAAACAACTTTGAAATTTGTACATAAATTATTATAGACAATATTTATGCCTGTACCTAATGGAATGATTATTATTAAGATACCTACACTTAGTATTTTATATTGTCTTATTACAAATTATATATAATCTACCTATAGGTACATTTTTTTTTCTTTTAACAATGTGTATTCTTAATTTTTTTTCAACGCTTTGTTTTAAAGTTGTATATCTTGGAAAATAATTTACTAAACAGCGTCACTATTTAGTTGTTTATTATAATATTGAGTAAAACTTGATTGGGTACATGGTTCAACTTTTTTAGAACATGATTATGGTTATTAGTCAATTGTCGAATAACAAAAAAAGTCAACGTTATCAAATTAAAAGTTTTACAACTTTAAAAATAGTACGATCAAATTAAATGTTTTTGTTAGTTAAAAAAAAAAAAATTAACTATGTTTTAAAAAGCTGAACATTTTTACTCAATTATTTATCATGTATTACTATATAATCAAATAGCATAAATTTAAAACATACATTTTCATTGGATTAGTGAGGTTAATTGTTGATAAATATACCAAAATATTTTTGTGTATATTTGTCATTGTTCCAATGTATATCTCTCCGTTACATCGCTATTATAAGAAGTTACCTATAATAGTTGTTGCTTGTTGGTGGGTGAATAACGTGTTGTATACAATAGTGCTGTGTAAAGCTCCGTATAATCGAATTTTACTATATCCTTTAATATATCCTATATCGCTTATGGTAAATAAATTAAAACATTATTAATACATTTCGAGTTATTTTCATGTTATTACCGCCTACGCGTATATCTTAAAAAAAAAAAAGAAAAAAGTCGTTACTTACTTGTTACAAAATATCGCGATGTATAATATACATTTTTTTATACAATATGTTTTACGGTGAGAGCAAAGCGAGATGGCGTGTCTGTGTATCACAGTTTTTGAGTTTATCATCTCTTGCCCGCGCGCAGAAAGACTTGATGTATTTTTGTCTGCACGCGTAATTATAGGTACTCGTACCCACCGCAGTGACCGCGTCGTGATGATCACGATGTAAAAATATGTAATGCGTGCAGTTAGGTACCTGCACATATACGAAAGCACACGAAACTTCGCGATTTTCGATTATTTACCTATTACTCTTATACGATTTCAGGAATTGGGATTGGACATAACCGACGAACAGTTGGCCGAGCTGCGCGCCAACGTGGACAACGTGGACTTCGCGGCAGCCGCCGACGAAGAAAAGCTCACTCGACACGATATCATGGCTCACGTGCACACGTACGCCGCGTGTTGTCCGACCGCCGGGCCCATCATTCACCTGGGCGCCACTTCTTGCGACATCGGAGACAACGCCGTAAGTTCCCGGGGCGTGGAGTCCGTAGGTACCTATTCTATACTGGGAGTTGGTGATTTTTTTCTCCAGAATAAACACGCGTGATTCGCGTTCCTGGACCCGTCACGAACGCGGTATTTCAATTTTATTGTTATTAGGTACATCCAGTGGCGTAACCAGGATTTTTGTTCGGGGGGGGGGGGGGGGGGGCTGATCAATTTTTTACATAGCTGTGGTATACTCAGGTTCTTCCATATAATTTGAACATGCGCAGATGCTGAAGTTTTATTTTAGATTCTTGTTCCTATAACCCTTCACATATATTGATTTAATATACTTGTATACTTTAAATACTTTGGATATTTTATTTTAATAATAATATACAATCATTTTTAAATTTTCTTAAAATTTCGGGGGGAGGCCCCCCGAGCACAACCTCCTCAGCTCTCCCCCTGGCTACGCCACTGGGTACATCTATAGATTTTTGACAAATTACCTACATATTGTTATCTACTGGGATATTAAACACATTATTTCACGCGTTTTCGTAGATTATTGTCATTGAGTGGGTTTAAAGTAAAACCGTTAAAACGGCTCGAGTAGCTGCAGGTCACCTAGTGAAATATAGGTAATTAATAATCGCTCTGAATCTGAAACGGAATGTTTGTTCTGTGTCATTAGTTTCTCGATCATCTCGTAATCTACTAGGTATATCATCCAGCAGTCACAGCGTCGTCGTACTCAAAAATTATAATTTATAGGACCCAGAAGTATTTCACATTTTTTTTATTTTTATTTTCATTATTATTCATAGGACTTGATTGTTTTGAGAGACGCTTTCGACATACTGTTACCGAAACTGGCGGGTTGCGTGAAAACGTTGGGTGAATTTGCCGATAAACACAAGGATTTGGCCACGCTGGGTTTCACGCACTTTCAGTAAGTATATTATGTATATACAATATATACATATTATGTTATGGACAATCTTGTGCGCTTAATTTAATTTTAAAGTAAAATAATTCTACACTTAAATTTTCAGGCCTGCTCAACTGACCACGGTTGGCAAACGTGCATGCCTATGGCTACAAGATTTGATTTTGTGTGAAAAAAACATAAGTCGTGTTCGTGCTGACCTCAAATTTCGTGGTATCAAAGGAACCACCGGTACCCAAGCGTCATTCTTACAACTTTTCAACGGTAATCTAATAAAAAAACCCCCGCCCCACCATCCATCATTAAATACTATCAATTCACTTATTAATGCTATGAAATGGGAATAATCTATTTTTTTTTTTTTAAATTCGTATAATTTTGAACACATAATTAAAATTAATTTTGACAAATTATTTAGTAATAGTAAAAAACGTAAACCCAAATGTCTTCACTTATCTATCGATTGCATTGAATGTCTGTTTACGTAATATTATGTTTCAATATTCCACAGGTGATTATGAAAAAGTCAGAGAATTGGATAACAGGGTAACAAAGCTTGCCGGATTCCCATCTTCATATTCTGTCACGGGTCAAACATACCCTCGAATTGTTGACGCAGAAGTTGTTGCATCCTTAAGTATTCTTGGGGCTGCTGTCCATAAGGTATATTAATATATTATTATAATGTTATCCCATAGTATTTTATTTTGTTAAAAATATATAATATTATGAATTTATTATATATCATATATTTAAAGATGTGTACAGATTTGAGACTATTGGCTGGCATGAATGAAATTGGAGAACCTTTTGAACCCACTCAAATAGGCTCAAGTGCAATGGCTTATAAACAAAATCCAATGAGAAGTGAAAGGGTTTGTTCTATTGCTAGATATCTAATGAATCTGGTTAACAACCCTTTATCCACTGCCTCTGTACAGTGGTTAGAACGAACATTGGATGACAGTGCAAATAGGTTTGTTTTATTGTTTTCATACCACAATTTTTTTTGAGAAAAATTTAAAAAAAATATTTTTGCCATTTTAGACGATTGTGTTTATCAGAAGCATTTTTGGCTGCAGACAGTGTAATGTTGACATTACAGAATATTCTCGAAGGGTTATCTGTATTTCCTAAAGTTATATCAAGAAATATTGAGAAAGTTTTACCCTTTATGGCAACAGAAAATATAATTATTGCAATGGTCAAAGCTGGAGGAGATAGACAAGTAAATATCAGAAAATATGTAAACATTAATATTTTTGGTTGTGGTTTAAAATGTAATCCAACCACTCCCTTGTGAATTGTTAATTTCATTTTACTTAGTACCTACTTAAACTGTAGTTATTATACCATAGTAATAAATTTAATTTTAAAATTAGAATACTACAACTGATAAATAAAATGTTGTAAAATTAGTATGATATTTTAATCTTTAATAATTATTGAATAATAGGTGCACAATATATTATCTTATAAATTAATATTGAATAAACTATGTCAGTTTGTTATGAATTTTATGGCATTTTGTTGTATTAAATTACATAATACCATATATTTTAATATAAGCTGATTTTTAAATCTATAAAATGTAATTAATATTATTCATTTAGAAGAAATTGTAGTTTAATTTACATTAATACTATGAAACAAAGAAGGGTTTAACTCGTCCACTTCTATTTCTAGTATAGATACGCTATTCTTAAGTATTTTTATTTAATTAATAAATAATTAAATATTCATATAAATAAAAAAATTGTTAAAAAATTAAAACACCTTAACTTCTATAAATTAATACTAAATAAATCACATATTATCACTTACACACAAAAACTCTAAAACCATTTATTATTTTTAAAAATACCATTCAATCAATCATTTTTTTTAACATCATTGTTATTAAAAAAAAAAAAATAATAAATAAATAAATAATAATTGTTCATTAGCCATTCCTAATAGATATATTAATTCAATCATAGAGCAAAATTACTTTCAAAATTGTCGTTACTAACTTTTATTTTATAAAATTTTGTGTATAAATAAATACAAATTTCAGGTGTGCCATGAAAAAATAAGAGTCTTATCACTGGAGGCAGCTAGTACAGTTCGTCTTCAAGGTAAAGACAATGATCTTATGGACAGAATTGTGAATGATCCATATTTTGCACCAATATTAGATCAACTATCACATATTTTAGATCCATCAACTTTTGTTGGGTGTGCACCTGATCAAGTAAATATTCAATCAATGAATTTAGTTATTATTTAAATATTAATAACATGGTTAATTGTAATTAGGTAACACATTTTCTGAGAGAAGAAGTACAGCCTGTGGTCAACAAATACATTTCCAAAATCAAAACTACAGCAACAAAATTGGATATTTAAATCAAGATACTTTTTAAATATTCACTTAAATTCACCATATTTTAAAATTTCAAAGTTTTACTTTCTTTAAATTAGTACATTTTCCTAATAAATTGTAGTTTTATATATTATCAATATAATTATTAAATAATCATTTATTTTAATTGTTTCTCCTTTAAAATGTCACTGACTTAAAGAATTATTATATTTAAATTACCTTGTCGTATAATTAAAAACACAACTTTATATGCTATATAAGGTATATTGTGCAAATTTGAAATGAAATATCTAATATTTTTAAAATATATACAGACGTATCAATTATTGTTGGGCACAGGGTATTCTCTCATCAGAGTATAGTAATTAAAAAGTGTTAATATTTTATTAATGAAATAGTAATTCAGTTTAAAATGTAACTAACTTATAATTAAATTTGTATTTATTTTACACTTTCTTAATACTAGGTACTACATAATAATATCATTGGTCATTATATTTAATTTTTAAAATTTTTAAAACAAAATTGCAAACTACATTATTAATACAAATTATTAAAAATTGAATAAATAAGTGATAATTGGTTTTATGATAAGATCCTAATAATTTTAAATTATAAGTGAAGGTTACACAATTTTAATGTAAAAAATTCAAAGTTATCAAATCTAACTAAGCTCCCATTCTATATTTTTGTAATATAGTATGATCCGATGACTGTTGAGGTGCGCTTAATATTATTTTAACAACTCAAAAAAACATTTAGCATTTAGCAGTTATTTAGCTCTAAAATAACTTACTAGGTAATAATTAATTTACAAAAATGTGAATATTACTTGATTAAAGCTGATATAACAAAATAACTTGGTGATAACATCAAGTCAATATTAATCAATCCTTTAAAAATAATTTTCTTATTTTGAAATCAATATTATTTGTTCCAATAACATTAGTATGATATATTTACGTTTGGTAATTTTGTAAATAGGTTAGTCATTGTTTATAAAACAGTATTTTACAATGTAAATTATTTTTTATTGTTTATTTATAAAGGTTAGTTACAATCTGTATAGTGTATACACAGAATAATATAATGAGTAAAAACTAAAAAAGTAAACATAGAGTACTAGACATGAAGAAAGGAAGCGTTCATCAACTTACTTCCAATTTAGAAACTGGAGGCTAGGGAGGATAAGTTGCTAGAATAATATATTATAATGTACATATAAATTGATGTATTCTTAATTCTTATAAATGTACTAAAATTATTTATTATTTTATATTATATTTTAAACTTTTGAATAATTTCTAAAGATAACAATAATTAATAAGAGGGATATCCATAATAGTAGAACTATAAGATATATTAAACATCTGTCCTCTATAATTTTATATTACGTTTACTTACATTTACATACTTACAACTTTCTAATAAGTACCTACTACTTAAAATAAAATTTTTTTAAAACATAGTTTAAGAATTAGGATCATAACAAAGGGTTTAGATTTTTATAAGGAACTAAATAATATAAATGTACAATAAGTTTGTATTATACACTTAATAGTACTCAGTAGTACGTTTAGACTAAGTTTATCATTCACCTTGGACAATATTTAACAAATCTTTCTTTTTCCTCCTTCTTAATAAACCATCTATAACTGGCCAATATTTAACACGTGTAGTAGGTATTTTTGGGAAATTAAAAAGTAGTAAATAGATGTATCTATTTATTTTTTTTATTATTATTTAGCTCATCTTAAACACAAACTAAGATAAAGTTATACTCAGTTGTGGTAATTGTGATCTTAGACGATGGACCGATGCAAAATTACAACTTTGTCCAAGGTAAATGGTTTATAATTATTAATTGTATATTTGTATCATTTAACTTTAATATCCTTACATAACTATGTACATACACATTAAGTTATATTTTGTTATTTTGGAATTCATTGGTCTAAGTGAGGCGAGGGAAGGCTGACGAATCAATTTAAAAAAAAATAGTAAAAATATTAAATTACGAGAATGAATTGGCAATTATTTGGTGGTAGATATAGGTACAAGTCGAACGGACAAAGTAAGAAGGATATTTGCTAAATGAAACGTTTAATTTAGATCCATGATGTAGATAAGAAACCTCAACTTCTTGGCATCGTTATTAAGTTAAATATATTTCTTTTTTAATAATTTAACATATTAAAGAATCATATTTTAGTGCTCTCGTACTATATTTATACACTTAATTATTGAATGATGAAGTTCGACGAACTTAACGACGTCAAAGTCACACAGGTTGTATGAAAATAGAATAACATTTGATATATGTTTAAAATATATTTGATAAAATAGTAATATTTATATTTACAATAATATACTTAAAAGAAATTTGAAGACAGAGGTTACGTTCGTGCCTGACAACTACGTACGGTAAAGCTAATAAGAAAAGATAACAATTTTAACTTAGGTACTAACTAATTACCTACTATATATTTTATACCTGTCCATATCCGTTTTGTTTTTCAAAAATATGGATTTTGTAATTAATAGGCCAAAAGGGCAAGGAGAACCAAGTCTATAGAATTGATTAATAAGTAAAAATATTATATAATGTAAACCGAAATAACGAGAATACGGTTTACTGAAATAAATGCAATATTAAATCATCATAAATCTTTTGAAATTTTGAAGTTTTGAACTTATCAAGTCGAGATATCAATGTAATTTTTTATTTAAATGATAAGACAATAATTATAATAATTTAACCTAAAAATTTCAGATTAAGATAACAACAATAATTTCCCGCCAAATTATAATACAACATTTGTATTTCATTATCACATCAGTCGTTGATTACGTTTAAAATGATTGAAATAAGAGTATAAGACATTAGCACAATATTTGGAAAATTGAAACAAATATCTAACAAGTAACAATTAACAGTAGAATAATAAGAACCGAGTACGGTTATTACTTAGGAGAATTATTTTTTGAATATTTTTCGCCAATTCGTCTGTCACAGTTTTTATGTTTTAAATTAATTTAACTGTAGATTTTTAATCACAAAATGAGTGAAGCTACAAAGTTACGCAAGTTCATAGTCAGCACGTTCTCACTTAATGGTTTTACGATTCAAGAGTAAGTATTACTACTTAAGTAACTCGCGTAGTAGCATAACACATATATTAAAGCGTTCTCATCTATCATCTATTAATATTGTTGAAGGAACACTTCAAGAATTAAGTAAGTTTTCGTGTCCCATCAAATTAAATTAATATTTGTACTTGTAAATTATAACTAAAAATATCTCATTTAATTTACCTAAAAAAAAAAAAAAATTATTAATTTTTTGTCTGCAATTCAAGTAAGTTATGTTTATGGGCTACTGTGAATCTGTGATCTTGATAAATATCTTATGCAAATGTGCTATTTACTAATTATATTTGTGTTTGTTTTTGTTAAAGAAGGGCATGTGCATACCTAGTACAACAGTTGGAACCATTAGAATCCATAGAAGATCGTGATCAATGGTTAGATAAGATTGTTGATTATGTACGTGTTTCAAGTACCAATGATGGAAACATAGTTACTTACGAATTACTGAGTAAGGCTCTTAAGGTAAGTTTTCTAGTTAATGTTACTATTCAAAATAGTTTTATCATCCTATTTAAAATTCATCTTTGTCATAATTTTAATAGTTCTGCTGTAATTTACAAATTCTCAATGATGAAGACATATTACATGTGACTTCTGCTTATAAATTACCATGCTATAGGTACTGTCCAACAACAAAAAAATTTCAGAGAATAATGTCAGTAACATCCATGTTTGGCGATGCACAGTCAAAAATCTCTCAGTATTCTACCAGGTAAGTAATTATACATTATATTATATGAATCTACTTAAAAATATTTTCCCAAATATTCATATACATTTTGATTATTTTTATTTTTTATTTTCATAGATATACTGTCATAAGACAACGTATGGCTAGAATAAAGACTTTAACTGATGGTACTCTTAATCAACCACTGACAATCGGTGATAAAATACGTGATGTTGATTATCTTTTGAGTTCAGGAGCCTGTAGAAAATTTGATCGCAATTCCAAAAGTGATTCAATACTTCTGCTGGGCTTTTTAGTACAATTGAAAGAAGGTGGTCGATATCATTTAGAAGATCCCACTGGAGCTATACCCCTTGATATTTCTGAAACAATATCCTTTTAAGTCAAAACAGTAAACATTATTTTAACCTTAATACGTTTTTAACAATAGTAAAAAAAAAATAAAATATTTAAGCATAATTTAATCGCTTATTTTAATTGTTATCATATTGATTATATTGCTTATTAATGGTTCATAACTCAAATTATTTTAAATTATTTTAATTTCCTTAACCTTGAATAAGATTTCCAAAAAGGCTATTTTACCGAGAATTGTTGTGTATTAGCAGAGGGTCGTTTTTGTAGCGATCGTAGAGTTTTTTTTGTCACTAATATGGCTTTACCACCAAGTGAACGTGCAGAAATTAGCAAGTATGAAACGTTATATCTTATATATTTAAATTAGATACCTTTATCTGATTAAAAATTTTATAAACAATACTACATTGTGTTGTTCAACTAATTAAACGATGCATTAGTCAGTTAAAAATCAATATTTAATTTTACAATGTATATTACCTATTATATAACTTAATATAATTTTAGTAATTTTGATTTTAAAATGACTGATTGATTATTGGTGTACAAATTGCTAACTACTTCTTGATTATTTTTTTTTTTTAATTATATTTTTGAATTATGTCTAAGAATATTTCATAAAAAAAAAAATAAATTTTATTGTTAAATTTAGTTAAAAGTATAACAAAATGTAAACTATAAATTATTAATTATATCTATAATATATTAAATCTGACTCAAATATTCTTTACTTGTGAAGTATACTCAAATTAAATATCTAATCCAATAAATTCTTTATAGCTCCTCTATAAATTATCACTAATTATGTATGTTATTTTAATTGTTTATATTTTTGCTTTTAGAATTTATTTTGGAGAATCGAACAATTTTAGTGACAAAAATGATCT